CGGGTTGGGGTTTTTTTTTTGCTCAATAAAAGGTAGCCTGCCCCTTTAAGGGTGGCCATTTTGAATTATGTTCTCCACGGCACACCTCTGAGTGTGCCGCAGAACACAGTTGAAGAAACACTGTACTAGAGTATGTCAATTCTGACTTTTTTTCATGGGACATATGAGAAATTACCAACAAAATAGACAAACAAAAACAACGGGTTGGGGTTTTTTTTTTGCTCAATAAAAGGTAGCCTGCCCCTTTAAGGGTGGCCATTTTGAATTATGTTCTCCACGGCACACCTCTGAGTGTGCCGCAGAACACAGTTGAAGAAACACTGTACTAGAGTATGTCAATTCTGACTTTTTTTCATGGGACATATGAGAAATTACCAACAAAATAGACAAACAAAAACAATGAGTCTATGGCATCTTAAAGACTCACAGATTTATTTGCTCATAAGCTTACATGGGCAAAGACTTACTTTGTCAGATTTATTTATAGTAAAGCCATGTTCACCTTTAAGGTGCCACAGGATTCCTTGTTGTTTGTGCAGATACAGACTAACGTGGCTACCCCTCTGATAATTTTATTTAGTTGTTTTAGTTTACACTTGTTTTGTTACCATTTTCCTTTTCTGTCTACATCTCTCATGTCCAGACATCTGCCTAGCAGCTCTCTGATAAATATACCAGGTTGCTGAGATGATGGTACACAGATGTCTGGACATGAGAGATGTAGACAGAAAAGGAAAATGCTAACAAACCAAGTGTAAACTAAAACAACTAAATAAAATTACCAGAGGGGTAGCCACGTTAGTCTGTATCTGCACAAACAACAAGGAGTCCTGTGGAACCTTAGAGACTAACAGGATACATCTACGCAGTAGTGTGTACCTCAAAATATGCTACGCAATTTGAGCTACACAAATTACATAGCTTATTTTAAAAGAGCTTATTTCAAAATTTGGCGTTGTCTACACAGTGCTAATTTCAAAATAAATCACTATTCTGGCAGCTTCCTTTTAATCCTCTGCAATGAGGTTTACAGGAAACTGGAATAAGAAGCCCATTCTTTCAAATGTATTTCAAAATAACAAGCATGTTCTTAAGACATGCAGAATACTATTTTGAGATAACAGATGTTATCCCAAAATAGTGCTGCTGTGTAGATGTTTCCATAGATATATTAGGGCATAATCTTTTGTGGATAAAACCCACTTCTTCAGATGAATTGGAGTGGAGGTTACAGAGGCAGGGATATATACACACGCACACACAGGGCTTGACAAAATACGGAAAACCCTACTCGCCAGACAAAAAAGGGACTCGCTGCCCTCCCCCCCAAAAAAGTGTGCTTTTTTTTTAATGGCATAAATTCCTAATAAGAACAGTAATTACTAATAAGTTATTAATAAATATCACCAAGTTGTTAATAAATACCTTATAAACCTCTACCTTTTCCCTCTGCTGCCATGTCTCCTCCCCTTGCTCCATCAGCTCCCCTGGTGCCTGCTTCCTACCACCCCTCACCCTCCTCTGCTGTCCTGAGACCTGCCCCCCTCCACCAGCCCTTCTCTCCCCCCTGTGCCCACTCCTCCAGTAGCCCCACTCTGATCATGTGAGCTACCCCTCCTCATCCCCTCTCCTAACACCTCCCTCTACACACCTGCCCTGCCTATTAAGTCAGGGGTTCCCAAACTTTTTGACATGGGGACCAGTAAATCCATTCCTGAGATTTTGGAGGACCGGTAACATTCATTTGCATATTTGCATATTCATTATGCAAATTGTGAATATTCAGATAAGTTGTTTCTGGTCCTCCCAAAGCCCCCAGTGTCAGCATTAGCAAAGCTTTTGATACAGTCACCCACAATATTCTTGCCAGCAAGTTAAGGGAATATGAACTGGATCAATGGACTGTAAAATGGATAGAAAGTTGGCTAGATCAGGGTTTCCCAAACTTTTTACTTTTTTTTTCAGTACTGTTTTTTGCAGCCCAAAAATATAAACACATACAAAACAAACTGAGAAAATACCAGACATATAACATGTCTGGTATTTTCTCAGTAGGTAAGTTGTATTATTACTAGTTGCATCAGTTTGTAGTTTCGAGCTGCCTGGCTGGTAAATGTGCTCAGGCTGCATGTGTGTGTCTACCAGCCAGATAGTTCGCTATTTGTCGAGGGGTGTGTGTGTGTGTGTGTGTGTGTGTGTGTGTGTGTGTGTGTGTGTGTGTGTGTGTGTGTGCACAGCAAAACTCCAGTTGTCCAGCATCCAGTGGTCTGGCACGCCTGCTAGTCCGGCACCACCTGGAAAACGGAAGTGCTCTAGGCAGCCAATTAGAGCTGCTCTGCCCTGGGCTTCCCTGAGTCAGCCACTCGTCAGTTTCAGGAGTGGCTGACTTGGGTACGCCCGGGGCAAAGCAGCTGGGGTGCTGGGTTGGTCCCGTAGCGCTGCCCCTTGGCTCTGCGGGACCAACTCGGCAACCCCACCGCTGCTCTGCCCCCGGCCTCCCC